GTGGGTTATTCACACTATATTATATGGTGGGTTGTTCACACTATATTACACAGTGGGTTATTCACACTGTATTAAACAGTGGGTTATTCACACTATATTACACAGTGGGTTATTCACACTATATTACACAGTGGGTTATTCACACTATATTACACAGTGGGTTATTCACACTATATTACACGGTGGGTTATTCACACTATATTACACGGTGGTTTATTCACACTATATTACACGGTGGGTTATTCACACTATATTACACGGTGGTTTATTCACACTATATTACACAGTGGGTTATTCTAAAGTAGTATTTTAAATCCAACATTTGATTACACTACCTTACTGATCCAAGCAGACTATTTGTGAGGATTGGGGTTCCTCAAATCCATATCTGGTTGCTTGTGCTTGGAAATATGCACCACAGTTCTAAACTGACATGTTTTTTAACTGTGTGTATATAGAAATCATAAACTATGCAGTAAAGAGGAAATGTTTCTCTCATATTTAAAATTAAAAACTGTTTTGAATCATGCTATACAAGTTAGTTAATTATTGATGAAAAGTATTACAAATTACAATTTTATAAAGATCTCCTTCTTCACGAAGTTTGGAGATGAAGTTTGATTTTGAGTACAATATTTTTATCCACAGCTTCTGACTGGCTGATAACATAGGCTCTAACTATTCATAAGTGAAAAAGTATATTTAAGATCTTTAGTTATAACTTGATGATTAATAAAACAGTTGGGGTTAGTGTAATTTCAATATATCTTTGCTGGAAATATACAATACTCTGAAACAATGTGCCACAGAAAAACAAAATACATTTTGACTTTACATGAAACTATTCTGGATCTTTTTCTCTAACAGAAAAACATATCAGACCTTTTGATTAAAAATGTTGAACAGATCTTGAATGATGAATTCTTCTAAGAATGTTCCACTGGAGTGAAATATTTTCTCTGGTAGGATGCATTTTGAATCTTCTCCTAGACTGAGAGGTTTTATCTGGTAGAATGAAGATTGAATCTTCTCCTAGACTGAATGGTTTTATCTGGTAGAATGAAGATTGAATCTTCTCCTAGAGTGAAAGCCTTTCTATTGTAGAATATAGTTTGAATCTTCTCCTAGACTGAAAGCCTTTCTCTTATAGAATATAGTTTGAATCTTCTCCTAGAGTGAAAGCCTTTCTATTGTAGAATATAATTTTGAATCTTCTCCTAGAGTGAAAGCCTTTCTGTTGTAGAATATAGTTTGAATCTTCTCCTAGAGTGAAAGCCTTTCTATTGTAGAATATAGTTTGAATCTTCTCCTAGAGTGAAAGCCTTTCTATTGTAGAATATAGTTTGAATCTTCTCCTAGAGTGAAAGCCTTTCTATTGTAGAATGGAGTTTAAACATTTCTTATTTAAGTAAATCTATGTTTATGTTGTTTTTATAGATAAGTAACATTAAAGCGTTAACTGATTATAGTAATTTATTGAACTTGCCTAATCGTTTCAGTATTCTTTAAGGGATAACTTGTCTTTTATTGTTTGATTTCAAATTACTCTCATTGCGGCTACAAAGATGTTTGTTTTTAAAGGTTCTGTTTTGGGGCATGAGAGAGTTGAAACGTGTCCATCTTCTGAGTGTTGACAGACCTCGTGCTGACATTGAATGTGCTGGCAAAGTGCTTCAGTCTTCAGTCATCTTGAATTACAGAAAAAATCCAAACTTCACAACACCAGTGAAGCATTTCGATGTTGTAAGTAACGTAGTCTTCCTGTCCGAATTTCAGTTATTAAACTATGAGTACTTTCATGATATTTTGAGTTTATACTGTTAATGTCGAATGTTCATTCTCTCCACTAGTGTCTACAATGGGATGTTTGTGTTAATTCTGTCTAATACCAGTGTCTACACTGTGATTTGTGGCAGCTGGTGTTGTACAAATGTTGTATTGAATGATGTTGTCACAACTGCATCTGGTGATGTTAAGTTCTTGTATTGAATGATGTAGACACAACTGCAGCTGGTGATGTTAAGTTCTTGTATTGAATGATGTAGACACAACTGCAGCTGGTGATGTTCAGTTGTTGTATTGAATGATATAGACACCACTGCAGCTGATGATGTTAATTTCTTGTATTGAATGATGTATTTACTATTGCAACTAGTGATGTTTAGATGTTGTGTTGAATGATGTATTCACTATAGCAACTGGAGATGTTTAGATGTTATATTGAATGATGTATTCACTATAGCAACTGGAGATGTTTAGATGTTGTGTTGAATGATGTATTCACTATAGCAACTGGAGATGTTTAGATGTTGTGTTGAATGATGTATTCACTATTGCAACTGGACATGTTTAGATGTTGTGTTGAATGATGTATTCACTATTGCAACTGGAGATGTTTAGATGTTGTGTTGAATGATGTATTCACTATTGCAACTGGACATGTTTAGATGTTGTGTTGAATGATGTATTCACTATTGCAACTGGACATATTTAGATGTTGTGTTGAATGATGTATTCACTATTGCAACTGGACATGTTTAGATGTTGTGTTGAATGATGTATTCACTATTGCAACTGGACATGTTTAGATGTTGTGTTGAATGATGTATTCACTATTGCAACTGGAAATGTTTAGATGTTGTGTTGAATGATGTATTCACTATTGCAACTGGATAATGTTTAGATGTTGTGTTGAATGATGTATTCACTATTGTAACTGGACATGTTTAGATGTTGTATTCACTATAGCAACTGGACATGTTTAGATGTTATATTGAATGATGTATTCACTATTGCAACTGGACATGTTTAGATGTTGTGTTGAATGATGTATTCACTATTGTAACTGGACATGTTTAGATGTTGTATTGAATGATGTATTCACTATTGCAACTGGACATGTTTAGATGTTATATTGAATGATGTATTCACTATTGTAACTGGACATGTTTAGATGTTGTATTGAATGATGTATTCACTATTGCAACTGGACA